TTGCTTGAATCATAAAAAACAGAACGAATTTAGCAGGCTATACAGGCTATACACCCGCATAATTGTGTAACCAACAGCACATAAGTATATTAGCTCAAATCTCTTAATTTGGATATCACCACACAAAAAGAATGCTGTATACAGAGGGAACAAAAACCAATTATAGAATCTCCCACCCCTTTATTTTTTCTCTTTCTACCTGAAGAGCTTGAGGTAAATTTATATGGATAAAACCAACATGTAGTGAACTTGCATGTGCTCAAATAAAAGAATTATTCCATTTTGACTTGCTTCTGGCTTTGCTGTAAGACAGGGATAAAAACCAGGAGAAGGAAGCACTGGTTTGACTGTTGTGCCCAAATTTAGTCCAAGAAATATAGAGCCTGAACTTACAGAGCACCAAATAATTCTGAACAACACTGAACAATGAAAATGATCATTAACAACTTATTCAAAGACTGGGGTGGGGGGGGGGAACAAAACAAACCATAAACAAGGTATTAAAAAGTGAGGAATTATTTAGTTACAGTATTATGATTCCCAATTCATTACACTTATAGTAACAAAACACATAACTAATGTGTACTAAAATAAGGTTATTTACTTAAAAATGATACATTGGACATATCTGTGTACAGAACAAGCAATTCATAGTAAACTCAATAAGGCACCTTCTAAAGCAGATGCTGTACAAAATACATTAGTGTGTTACATTTTTAAAGGAGTATTCTACACTTCCGACATATAACACACACAAGAGTGTGACCATTTGTCTTGTTCCACTCTTCTTTCATATTTTATTTACATCTTCTCTAGGTTTACTACAATGTTATTTATTCTTCTTGTATACAATATAGTACATTTAATTTTGGGCATGGCATGTCAGAGCACAAATGTCACTACACGATGTGGGCTTCTATAATTGCATTCAAAGGTAAAATATTACAAACAACAATTACACGAGATTTGTTCAAAAGTTAGAAGTAATGTGCACTCCACTTCTGCTATACCAACCAAAGCTAACACACCAGGGATCCATAAAGCACGGTATCGTGCAACATTGCCAGTCATTATTAGACATCACCCCTATTTGGAATAAAGACTGTGGGCACAGGATAAAGACCTTTGAATTCAGAGGCACTGTCAGAAGAATGAGGAAGTGCTAAATCATTCTAATGTTTGACAAAAAATGAGTGCATAACATCTCTTTAAAAAATCTGCAACTGCCAAAGAATGCTCTAACTTCACACCTTTGCTTTTCAAACATTTTAGATCATTAAAATACAGTCTGTGCAGATAAGAGTAGATGAAATGTATCCAAATGATTTGTTTTATAAACACATTCAAATGGTCATTTAGATTAAGATCTAAAATTTGGTTATAGATTACTATGGAGGTAACTTAAAATATTAATTTTACATTTTATTCAATACTTCAGAATAGACTTACTAAGAAAATAATTGTGAAAAAGTAATGGACATCAGGAAAACTGACAGTTTCTTGAGGAAAATACAGGAAAAATGACATATTGAGTAAAACTCAGAATAAACTCAAGATGTAAGCCTACATTTTTCTGTAGGAATATCATGTTTCTTGTGGAATTTACAAGTTAACCAGGAACACAAAAATTTTCCTTTCAGTTGCTGTAACAGTAAAAATTATATAAGTGTCTCAAATTATTTCCCACCTAACTGAAATCACATGGAGCAGGTTAAATTAATATGGACCCCCCCACACTCCATATGCGAGTGTTTAAGAACTTCCAAGGCACAGTCTTGATATTCCCCAGGATATTTTCCACACTTCTGATTTATATATTTAAAAAGAAAGAATGAAAACACACTTGCCAGTTTTGGGGGATTTTTTTTTTTTTTTTTTTTATGACAAATGCTTACAATTTTGACCAATAAAATGAGATTAATCACACTCAAACAGAAGAATTCTGTTACCCTCCCTGACCTTTAAGGTTTCTGAACCGTACAGTTTTGCATAAAGCAACAACTTAGCTTTAGAATCTGCACTAAGTATGCTTAGTTATATAAAAATTAATGGGCTAGCTTTGAGCAAACTTTGTTCCCCCAAAATGCTTGCTCAAATATCAGTATAGATATACTTACATCATTCACAAACAGTGAATGACTTTGCATGGAATGTAGATATGTGCTCAAGTGCTTTATGCAACCAGGTCCTTCAGCAATAATATTTTTTTGGAATATCAGGGAATCAAGGAATGCTAAAGACCTAGAAGCTCCTGTTCGGGACAATGAAAACTGCATGCGTGTGATAAACTGAGTATGAACCTAGTAACTGAACTGCTGAAAAATTAAGGCTAAGCTTAAGGCGAGAAGATTTTTTTTCCTCTCAAAGATCATCTTTGCAGCAGTCAGCTCACTACTTCTGTGTTAAAGTTAACATATAAATCAATACAGGTCTTAAGATGTCTACCAAAGATCATCATCCTGTTGCCTCACAAATGCCTAAACAATGGAGGAGAAAATAAGCAATAATTAGAAACTATTGAAATTTACGCTTCCAGCAATAACTTCCTGAAGACTTGTAAAAAATGAATTAAAAAAAAAAATAAATCACAAAACAAGTTTACAGTTAATAATGATGTGGCAACTTTTAAGAAATAAAAACATACTCTAAATAAGAATGGGTTAATTTAAACAGACCTCCACACTCTGAAAGTTTAAGCTAGCAGGGTATCTACATAAACATTTTTCCTTCTTGTTGTCAAAATGCTAGAGAACAGGGGGAAAAAACAAACTTATCCCTTACTTTTTTGGTTCATACCAAATATTTTCCAACTACTTGTGCAAAAATTATGCGCAAAGATACAACTAGTAATTTCAAACTCTGCATATATTTCTTGGCAATGGACGGAGAAACTTTTTTTAAAAAGCCCTTTATCATGAGGATTGTGGCACAGTATCATATATTTCTTGCTGTTTTCAAATAAGTTAAAATCATAGTTGACACATCTATGAACTTTTCAGCCAGAATACTTAATACTTAAAGACATTACTGAACAAAAGTAATGACTTTATTTTTTTAAAAAAGAAATGTCCCTCGAAATAGCTAGTTTTCTATAAAATATGTAGAACTGTTAAATAAAGTCTGTACATCACAATAGAAAATAAAAATACTGCAATCTTTTGCCTGACCATTTAACATTATGTGAATTACAGAATTAAAACAAAAAAATAACACGTTAGAAGGGTCTAATTGTTCACAAATCACATTAGTTCTGCATTACACTGTTTTCTATCAGTTGTATTTTCAAGGGAAATTTAAACATGTATCAAAACAAACTCCATGTACATATTTTCAAACAACAAATAATCTCACATAAATCAATTTGAAGTTTTAACATTTTTTTCATCAATTTTAATACTATTCCTAACTTTTTTCTTCAAATCTCGACTATGGCATATGTGTGTGTGTATGTGTATGTGTGTGCATGTATCTAATTGTACACATGCACCTAGGACTAGGTGTTTTGGTGTTTTTTTTTTCACTAAACACAAAACACACCGTATAAATAACTTCCCTTTTTAAAGTTATCTAGAACAAGATTTACAGTACAAAGTTATAGGCACTTAAATTATCAAATAGGTTCAATGATTCTAATACTATGTGTTCATTCTTCAGATGATTCATGCATTTGAAGCTTCAACTTGAGTTATGGAACTATTTTCTAACTTCAAAGTGGAAGTGCCAGAGGAGTTACAGACCAATAATTCTGCCTTACAGTAGCCTCATGGGGAGGCTTGGGTTTTTAATCAACTTGGATCAGTGAAGAAAAGGAGGGAACTATAGTTTCCTGTACATGCCACATAGCTGGCAGAATAGGACCAAAATTTTGCCATTATGTTAACTTACTTTATCTTCATGAATTAATCTTTCAATGCCATTCCTCCCAAGCGTGCCTAACTAGAACTTAAAACACCCACTGATTTACCTTGACTTAGATCCTGAATTTTGCAACTGTCCACTAAGTGGCCCACAGATGTGGCCTCCTGCATTTACATCAGGGCAACCCAGGTCAAAATCTTTTGCCTGTTGTGGATCTTATCTTCAACAGTTCACATATTTAGTTCTCCTGGTCTCAACCTTTACTGTATTCTCTAATCTTCTGAGCACCTGGCCTGCACCTACTGCCTTCCCTCTTCTGTGTCTATATACTAGACTTGTTCTCGAACCTTTCAAAACTTATCTTCTGCCCAGTATTGTCAAATGATGAAAAAGCATGCTCCTGCAGCTGACTGATTCCCTCCTGTATGGAAAAAAGTTCAGAGCACCACAGGCACCTACCCGTAAATCCCAATAAAGTAGAAAGGCAAAACACATCATCAATGGTCTTTCTGTTAAGATGTAAAGTATTCTGCAGCAAAAATACTGGTTGCTTGTGGCATTGTGAAAAATATGCCAAATTTCATAGTCATCCAATTATGGAGCCCACTAGACTGCGAGTGAGATGACCAAGGTAGTCTATACCTTTAAGATATTGTTCAAAACTCTTTACAGACTTAAGTAGGTATTCCCTAATTTATTAATGGTTCACATTTTTGCAGTTCTCCCTGTGACCAAAACAAGAATAGAAATAAAAGTAAAACTGAGATGTTGGAAAGTAACTTAATGACAAGGAATCAATTCTTGTCAAATCTCCAATTGTGGAGCCACAAAATGCATGGAACCCTGACCATAAAACTTTGTTCATTCAAATGGTTTCTTATCTATTCCAAATGACAGCAAAATAATCCTGGCACACACATAAAGGCATAAGGAACTGTTAAACTGAGTAGTATCACAAACTGATTCATAACCTACAGGCGGTTTCACGAAAGCTTTGTATGGATTGACTAGGTTTTATCAGGTAGAAGGCAAAAAAAAAAAAAGCTTATATTCTCCATCTCTGTTGAATCCATATAGCTTGTTAGGCTTTCACAGAAAGCACTGTAATCTAAACATTCAATTCAGTACCCAGAGTTGTACTGGAGACTCACTAAATATGACTGAAGTCTCAATGCAGCTCAAACAAAAACAAAACGTGTATTTTATCAAGGCTGTCCATATACGTAGCATGTAGTGTATAGAGGTTCTCAGTATCACAGTCTATAAGTACTGAAAGATTTGATTAGCAGCCTGTAGAAGTGTGCTGAGAAAATAAACTGAATCTCAGTTATTTCCTCTTTCCACATAGGTCTCACCCATGTTTGAGTGAAAAGATCTAGGAGTCCAGCTTTGCTCTCCAATGTCAAATTACTATGTCAAATCTTTACATCCTGTGATTCCACCATCTTGGCAAGCGTCTTCTTGATTCTCAAGGCAGTGAGCCTTGAAGCAGGATTATGAGCCCAGCATTCAGACATTAATTTCAATATTGCTCTTAAACACTGTAAAATAAAAAAAAAAAAACAAAGGAACAGTTTTGTAACGGGTGACAGACCTGAGGTGTACAATTTTGGTTTGCTGTCAATCCCAAATTATAGAGCTATTAAGTCCAAATGTGAAACTTCTACATTTTCTACAAAACTGCTGATAAAGAACTATTCTAAACAGATCAACTAATTAAAAAAACCAATCAAACAAAAAAAACCAAACCCCAAATCACCACATCCCAGTCCTTCTTTTTTCTCCCCTTCACTGCCTAGTATTACAGTAGCTGTAACTAACTGAAGTGTTTCCTTAGTTTCAGAAAGATGGACTACTAGAACTTATCATTATAAAGCAAGAACAGCAGTACAAAAATGGTAGCAATAAGCAGAAAAAATTCCACATATGTAGCAGGAAACTTTAGAGAACCTTTTCACTGAAAATTAAGATGCAACAAAAGTTCTTTCAGCAGTCTAATAATAATATGGAAAAAAACCTGGGAATTCCTAAAAGAAATAAAGGATTTGGGTAAGAAAGGACATGGCATGTCTAGTTTGCTGTATGAAATAGTTATGTCTTATGTACTGTTCTCAAGTTGTTGCCCTTAAATTCAGTATTTTAGTTACATCATGGCTTGCCCTGGAACCTACCAGAAAAAAGGAAAAGAGGAAATGTACAAACACAAAGAAATCGCTTAATATTCCATTAAATACCTTATGCCACAACCCATTATGCTGTACACATTAAGAATAATAAAACCAATTAAAAACTCGTTTAAGTTTTAGCTTCAATCAAAACTCTGAAAAATATTCCACTATCTAAAAAGAGGATCTCAGAGTAGTATTCATATACTTGGATGCTGCCTAAGGGTATCTTCCCCTCTAATCACTGAAAAGTTACATAAAACAAATGGTATTTTGAGTTGACTTCAAACATATCTTTCTCCTATTGTTGCTGTGAGGTTTTCAAAATACCAATATAGTGAATATAGTCCCTTTTTAAATGATGTTTTAATATTTATTAAATTGAAACACCTTTCATATTAATGAGAAAACTGAACTATTTTTTCCTTTCAACATACTCACTTCATCACTATTCCATCTATTTGATACTACTGGGCGTAGGCGTTTGACACAAACCACTTCTCTCATGTCCTCGTAAGATGGATCACTTGGCACCATGTCATAGTATGGCAACTGATACTCTTCAACAATACCTGGAGATAATTGTGAAAGACCAAGAACCATTAAAAAAAATGAAACAAATCTATATATTTACTCTCAGATTTCCTTAGCCACGGGCAAAAATTAGCTCAATTTTGTACCAAGGGAAGCCCACCACACTGTTAGGCTGTGATAAAAATCCAAAAAATTCACTATAACAGTCAGATATTTACTAGAAAAGCTCCAATATTATGAATATTAAGTTTAATAACTACAATAATTCCTTGCACTCTCTTTGATACCCATTGTGGAATTTGACATCTTCTAATCCACTCTGTGTTACAAAGAAACAGGGAGAAAGTGTACATGGAAGAAGAGAATACAAATAAAGACCTATAAGGTCACAAAAGAAGAGTGAAAGATAAGGAAGGATGAGTCACAAAAACATGTGTAAGGAGAAAACTGAATGACACCAAGAATGCAAGAAAGTGTAATCACTGAATAATATATTATCAATTACATTTTAAAAGTTTTATTAACAGCACAGGGGTGCAACCCACTATTTCTCCCAGACCAGGCACTCTACTTTTTGAGCAAAGAAAAAAAGCCTGGGACGCTTAATTGTAACATTAAAAGAGGTTTAATTTAGTGATTTTCAAGCTCTACTCTGGACAGACTGTTACTACTGCTTTTAAAGAACACAAGCCTGTTGATATAGCAGGCTCGTTATATTATTTTCTGGACAAGTACTGTTAAAGTGAGACAAGGGCCTGGTAGATTTTATACAGAATATTTAAAAGTTTACCTCCTGTGATGCAGCGCCGAGCCATTTCCCAAATGATCAGCCCAAAACTGTAGATGTCAGCCATGATGTACGGTTGGAAATGGTTTTTATTCAAGCTTTCATCTAGGACCTCTGGAGCCATGTAACGCTTTGTTCCCACTCTAGTATTCAACGGAACATCAACTTCATTTGTGTCACTATATGAAAATATTAGGAAGTTAGTGAATTGTGGACTATTACAAGACATGGTAGGAAATCCTGTATGATAAAATCCTTTGCACTACACTGCAAAGCTCCCGTTTACAAATTAAATTATTTCTTTTATTTCCCTCTCAATTCTACATTTACAATATACTGTACCTCCCTGAAAAAGATTATCTGGAAAAATGATAGTCAGTATGGACAGTTTACTGCTTCTTTTGCAAAACATTGAAAACACATATGAAAAAACAGAATTAAAAACCACTGTAAAGATGAGAATATTTGGTAACAACTCAGAAAATTAGTTTCAAAGGCTTATGATTTCTTTCAGGCTCTATTGAAGCAAAAACCAATTCTCTGGCTCCATTGAACTTTAAAAAAAAAGAAAAACTATTCAATAATACTATTATAGTATTACTTTTTCAATTAAGTTTCAACTCCCTTTACACTGTTCAAATTTTCTATGAGATAATTTATAATGAAACTGTATGATAGCAATTACTATGAAAGGTCAGTTTTGAATAATGAATGAATTTGCCTCCTCTGCCTGTCCTCTACAAAATTGCTCTTATTTTCCACAAGAAGAGTCTTTTCATAGTTTTCTTCACAACCTATTTTCATCTTGATGCTTACTAGCATTCAATGGAAGAGCAACATTTTACTCTCAAAACTGAATAAAACTGAAAGCATGCAACCAAATGACTCCCATCTTCCTTTTAAATTTGACATCTGGTACATTAAAAAAAAAAATATATAGAAGTTTTCCCATTACAGAGGATTTGTTCACTTACCTGTTAAACTTGACTGCAAGACCCAAGTCAGCAATGCAGCAGGTTCCATTTTTCTTTATCAAGATGTTTTTACTCTTCAGGTCCCTGTGTGCAATAGCAGGCTTGCCTTGTGTCCCATAGATTTCTGTGTGAAGATGGCACAGACCACAGGCAGCAGAATACGCCAGTTTGAGGAGAGCCCTGTTGTCTAGCGTAGTGCATTTCAGAAAATCATACAATGATCCATTTTCATGATAATCTGTAATCAAGTAAAGCTGTGTCCAGGAGCCAGTGCCTTTAATATCTGCAGCTATGAAACCTATGAAATATTTAAACAAAGTTACAATTTATTTGCCCTTTTTTTTTTTTTTAATGCAACAGATTTAGTAAGGATTCCTAAAGCTTTATTGTCTTGGGCTGTATCAAAAGGTATCTGGTTCCCCTTATGAAATCTAATAATGTAAAAGCTCAGATTTCAACTATACATTTCTAGTTACCATTCCAGTCCTCCAGCAAAGCGACTGCAGATACGTTTTCAACCAAGAGCAGCAAGATTCTACCCTTTTAATAACATTTTAGTAGCATATATTAAGGGATACCCATCTGGCAGTTTCATAGAAGTCACCATATACCCCTCAAGCCACCCACTAAGAACTCCTCCTCCTTCAATCTCACACAAGCCCTCCACTAGCCAAGGTACTGCTTCCTCACCAAGGATGTTTTCATGACGCATTAAAACAGTTTGGTAAATCTCTGTTTCTCGGAACCAACTGGCTTCTTCTGTGGTGAAAAACACTTTCACTGCGACTTTTTCACCTCTCCATTTGCCCATCCACACTTCACCATATCGTCCTTTTCCAACCTGCCTCACCATCTGAATCTGTTTGGCAATAGTGCGCTGAACCTAGGGAAGAAAAAAAAAATTAAAAATAAGTGAAAGGTGAAGGAGGGAAACCAGCAATTAACCAGAAGTATCTGGACAAGCTACTTCTCAAACTTGGATTGCTTTGAATTTTGATCCCATTGTAAAAAATTTTTCTGTATTATTTTCCACTATTCCCATTTCAAACTCATTATTGCTGCCTCCAAGGAAGAACTGCATAGCAAACCCAAAAAGATCAAATCAGCTCAACTTCTTATTTAACTCAGATGCATTCTCTTGCATTCTATTTGTTTCTACTTTATAAACACAATCATCTGTCTCACTGGCTAATTTTTACGCAAGCGTTACATACAATGGTAAATCAAGAATTATGAGCTATCAGCCACTAAAAAGCTAATTTATTTTATCAGACAGTGGACATTAAGAAAGAAAGTATCTTTGAGTTTGCTCAGTTTGATACCTGTATTATTCATTCATTGCACTGTTATCTTAATGTCTGTAGGCTCTCATTTTTCTTTAAATTTTGCTGATGCCAACAAATTTCTCAACATATAATTTTGCACTTCATTTTAGTTAATTATGTGAAGATGGGCTTTCATTACATGTTTAGTTTGCACTGTGTCTTTCACAGTAACTGCACATAAAATAATTAACATACTGTATGGATAAACTGCTTCTTTCTAGGCAGTAGGTACTTTGTATTTGATGGAGAGAAGTTCACAGAAGAAAAATCTCAGTTTATGATTTACCAACAGCGGTAGTCCTGAGCCACTCCCAGAACTCTGTGACTGGTCAATAAGGTCTTTTAATGACTCCCCAGCTGGAATAAATGCTTCATCTTGTTCCAAGTCACGATTATAACAGTGCCTCTTTGCCATTGATTTACAGTAATGCCTGCAAATATAACAGAAGAAGTTAAATGTGTAGTAAATTGAGTTAGGAAAACGGCTATTTAAATGTACAAGTTTTCTTAAGAGGAAAAAAAATTATCAGATTTTATTCTACCTTTTTTTTTTTTTTTTCAGAAATGTAACTTACATGTTTTTTTATTATTAAGAAGTTGTTGTGATTCATGTAGAGGCATGTCAGTTTATTATGAGTCAGGGGGAAAATAATTATTTTTAATACTCTGCTCACAGACAGCGTTACTAGCCTAACACTGCTGGCTTTGGTTTAAACTAACAGACTGAACCTTGAACCGTGGCAGATGAGGCTGACACATGCACATTTCTGCTGAAACTGCTAGAATAATGATCACCTCCAGCACAGGGCTGGAGCTGACAGAAGCAGGCATAGTCTTTTAAATTGCACCTGCATGAATTGCCATAGCTTAGCTGGTCAATTATTTAATTTTGAAACACAGCAGAAAAAGGAAAAGTTGTAAAACATATCCTTGACACTTTAGGTTTGCAAAAATACTTTACAAAGGTAAAGCTCAGAAGCAGACAGAATTTAACTATCAAAAGTAACTGAAGATCTAAGATCACAAAAAGCATTAAGATATTCCTGTTTACTGGATACTATAGCATCAAATTTATAGCATATGTAGCTTACAAAACTGTAAACATTTCATAGCCAGAGGAAAGGATCAAATTCACTTAAATTCTGTGCTGTGACATTTAATTTCACCTAGAAATGCAAACTACTATCCACAGAAATATGAAATAAATTACAACTGTTTCACTTCCAATCTATTTCTGTCTACTAACTGAGTACATTTACAAAATAACTGTTCTGTTTACACTAATTTGGGAAATGAAAAACATTGCAAATAAAGAGCTTTCCTTACTTGTAACAAAAGCAGCTAAATAAGATGATCATGACAATTATGCAGACTGCCATAGAAATCAACACTGCCATCCAACGAATGCTGCCATCAAAAAGTCCATCTATTAAAAAAAAAAAAAAAAGTATCCAAAGTCTATTAATTAAACATCTATTGCAAATAGTTTATTTAGGTATGATATTTTCATTCAGGAGGTTTTGTCTTAACATCAGGAAATACTTCTTTACTGTGAGGGTGATCGAGCACTGGCACAGGTAGCCCAAGGAGATTGTGGAGTACCCCTCCTTGGAGATACTAAAAAGTTGTCTGAACATGGTCCTGTGTAACTGGCTCTAGGTGGTCCTGCTTGAGCAGGGGGGTTGGACCAGATGATCTCGAGAGGTCTTGTCCAACCCTTAATCAGTCTGTGATTCTGTGACAGTGTGTGGAGTCACTTGCAAAATGTTAGAAAGGAGCAAGACAGCTGATGCATGTATCAGTTCATATGAAATGAAGCAAAATTTATAGTGTTTTAGTATCAAAGTAAGTATTTACACCAGAAAAGCAGAGATAATTTCATTTGGATGACAACAGAAAAAGGATTTAATTTGAGATTTTGAGTTGTTGGTTTTGGTTGACTCTCGTTTGTTCTTAGAAACAGAAATTAAGGATTTACAGCAGTATGATTCTGAGAAGGTATTAAGCAACAGTTAAACCAGTATGACTTCTCTAGCAATGAGTAAGTGCATGAAAATAGCTTGTATTTTCACTGGGAACAACAGAAAGAAGAGAATGAATTTACAGTAGGTAACAGTAAACAATGTCAGAATACTTTTTAAAAGATGCATTCACAATGTCAAAAAGCACAGCAGAGATTGAAAAAAACATTTTAAAACGAAAAAAGATAACAGGCTGTGGAAACAGAATAATAACAGATCAAAAGACCACATGCAGATTAAGATATGAGCAAACTGAGGAAAAGAATAAAAATACCACAAGTGACTGAGGGAGGAAAAGATTAATTTGGAAGTGGAAGAAAAGGAAAAATAGAAATAGAGTATGAAGTGTAGTACAGAGCTCATAGCAAAATTACTTAGGAAGAAACAGAGCTGTGCAATACTGTAATTACATTTTCTCCTTATTTTTACCTGTTGATCAGAAAGAAAAGAATCTATATAGCATTTATTAGTAGCAGTATGACCATCTAAGAGTTGTTTACCTGTACTATCAAGTGGTGGCAAGGTTGGTTGTAAATCCTGATTGCAGAAATCAGTCCGACAGCACTCAATTGTTCGACGTAATTGTGCTTTAGGTGAGTCCTGTTGAAAGAAAATGGAATAAACGTTCAGATTTTGAAGTGATAAGCTGGGACAGGGACAGGTGATGCTACTGATACAACACAGCACAGACAAAAGTTTAAGCTATTTTATTAGGGAAAAAAAACCCCAGACAAACAGTTCAGCCTCATCATTTAATGTACGAGACAACTTCACAGTGGCAGAGAAGCATCATCTAATCTCTTTGGGTATATCTGCTCTATGTTCACATTTTTTTATTTTTCATGGAACTTTTTAACTTTGTGCATAGAAATGGATAGTTCCTACTTGGTATTTCATATATTGCAAAATTTTTAACTTTGGTCAAAAGCAGTTAATCATATGTTAAATAAGTACTGTTCCCAAGATAAAAACCCCAGTCCCTTTAGAAGTAGTTTTTCTCTTGCACTCATCATATCAGTACTATTTGCTTCACAAACATCTTCAGAACACTATATAAAAGTTGGAGGGGCATGAAAATTAATCTGAAGGTAAGACACTAATATAAATACAAGAACAATTTCAGGAAGTCATCATGACACCTCAGGTCTGATTTGCAGTAGCCCTAAACATTCACAGCTGCAGCTGAAGTCAAGAGTGCTTCCAAAAAGCAGTGCTACTGACAGCTACATTACATAGAAACTCAAGTCCTAGAGATTTAAAATTGAGTAACCAAAACAGTGATAGCATTTTGGAGGAAGGGGGGAAAAAAAAGTTACCCAGCTGGTCGTTACCTCTGGAAGCTTTGTTTAATGTAAGCAAAGTGACAAAAGAAAAAGCAAAATCCAGTCTTCCAAGACAATGTTAATTAGTGCAGCTAGTGCTATATCCCTGCCATCTAAGCAAATCCTTGCTATATTAACTGTGTTTTCAGTTCCAACTTTTGTAACAGATCAAAGAAGTTCTGAAGGCAGCAGTCTGCCTAATTATACAAAATCAAAAGTTATATTCATGCAGTTAATGATATATAACTCTTCTAGAAAGGGAAAAAAAAAGTTATAGGTCTGACAGGAAAACATACACATTTGATAAACTGTGTGTACATGTCCATGCAACTTTAAGGGACTCTTGTGCAATCTGTGAAGAAAACTCCTTATGATTACGGTCTTCTGTCAAATGAACTGAAGAAAACAAGACATGCCAAATTAAAACAACCAAGAAATTCTGCATTAAAACATAAACTACTCAGATCAATTAAGCTGACTATAAAGTTGTCTCTTCAACTGAGGAAACAGCTGACAGAAGTAAAAGGTTGATGCCCTCTGTTCACTTTGTCAGTGGCTTACAGATACTTGCAGAGAAATCCACTCTATTCCCATCTGTGCTAAAACACCATTAAGTGTCCTTTCTGTCACTACTCACCCAGGACTATTCAGTTCCATTCTCCTCAGTGGTAAATGGCAACACGCAAATTATATGATTGCATTTGGAAACTGCAGCAATTTAAACTGCTTATGCTGTCTCCCTACATAATCTCCATGGAGATCTTAAATATTAATATCTCAGTTTTTTACCTTGCACTGGAAGTCTGAACCTTCATACTTCATGCAGCCAGAAGCAAGAGTGGGTTCTCCGTGTTCATCTTCCTCAATGATAGCAAAGCAATGCCCATTAGTTCTGGAATAAACATATCAATTGTGCTTTATTAACATGTTTGTTGTTTAATATGCAGCATTAGCTGACCATGAACCCATTAAGAATATTAGAATGACAATATCTAGAAAAATTCTTCTTTAACACAGTGGTTACCATATAGTTGGAGAACAAAAGACCCCTCCAAAGTTTTCAAATAGAACACTGCAGAAATGTTTTCTCCTGAATATTTTGTCTTCTGCTTCCTCACCCCTCTTCCAAGATTGCTCATATCCAGCCACAGTTGGATGCAGATGCTCAGAAATAAATGAACAGGTGGAAGAGCAGAGATCTGACTAAAAAGGCTTACTGACTACAATTCTATAGGTTAAAACAAAAATAAAATTCACTTGTATCTGTTCTTGAAACTGCAATGATAAACACTTGAAGAGAAGTCCCAGTATGTGAAAGGCAGCTATTTCAAAGTCAAAAGCTCAATTACACTTTTCCCACATAAGCTCTCTCAAATATTCAACCTTAAGGTCAAAAGAAACAAACCAACACCCAAATCCACTTTCTGAAGTTGACAGTAACAAACAGATTACATCCTTTAAAAAAAAAAGGAACTTCAGTTCCCCATTTTCCCTTTATACAAATGATATCATTTCTATTTCTAACAACAACGTCAACAATATTTGTAAGGAATCCCAAACCCATTCACAATGGTAGGTCTGTGCTTTCAATACCTGTAAAACTAAGATTTTATTAAGTAAATAAAAATTCATTAATTCCCTCAACACAGGCACCAATGAAAACAAATCCAGAAATATTTTTGTTTGACAAAAAAATTTATTTAAATGAATGTAAAGAAATGTAGATTTAGGAAGCATAATGCCATTAAATACCCTGCACATGAACACTGCATAAGTGGTATTAACTCTCTAACAGCTTTTTTATCAGAACAATGATCTATATGGCTATCAGTTCAGAGGCAAAAAATTAGTAGGGCCTATACTGATTGCATACAGTAGAGGGCGGTAAAAAGCAAAAAATAAATCCCATAGGCTTGAAAGACAAAATACTGGACTGTAACCAAACATTTTCTAGGTGCAAAACTATGTTTGTAAAATACTACCCGTGTTTACATTTAAAAAGATAGTGGAGTTTATTCCACCTTCTTGGGCTCCACAAAAACTGCTTTATCTGCCAAGTGACAGCTTTAGAGCAGCTTAATACTATGTGTTAAAGTCGACTCAAATTACAGGAGCACGTAATATGTTTTCTATTTATCTTTATATTAATTCTTAAGGAAGAAAACAGAAAGGCTTTAAACGTGGAACTGCAAATGAAGAGAAAAAAGGAAAAACAAGGACATTTCATGACATGAAAAACATCTTAAGCAAGCACATAATCAGTGCCATCAGTCTATTATGCCTATCAAAGTTAAAACTACCCTCCTGTCCCTCTACGTTCAAAGGCTTTTCTCTTCTCCCCCTGCCTTTCCCTCATATTCTACAACTAATGAACCTGTAACAAGAAGAATTCTCAGTAAATGGCTATGTTGCTAACATTACCTTTTGAGTACCAGGTGAAAAAACACTCGACTAAGCAAGCAGGTGCTCATATCAGAAGCTTTAGATTTGGGTCATTTAATACTCACCCAGTTATAAAATGCTACAGAGGTTACTTAAAACCTCAGTCCTTCAAAGCGGTTCCTGGAGGCAAACTGTCTGTTTGCAAATGGTTCTAAGGCATGGTGAAAACAGTATTGTTTACATATAGATGATCACATGTTTTAGTGCTCCACTCTCCACAAACCAGTAAGTTTCTAATCAATTACAGTCAGATCACCTGACAGAACCTCAGTCAGCACTCTAGAGATAGTTTGCTCTGTGAGGAGCACAAACGAGCCTCTTCAAAGAGCCTCTTCTATCCTGTACACAATACTTACATGCATGTGTTATTAATAGCATCATCTGGACAATGTCCTGAGCAGTAGCACTTAAGAAAAGGTAAAGTGTCCTCTGGAGCAAGTGTTACTCCATTTGCTTGTTTCTTTTGGTCAGAATTTGTCTTCATTCCTGTGCCATGAAGCATGTTGTGTAGATTTTGACCTGGACATTTAAAAAAAGAAAAAAAAAGAAAATTTGCATCTCTGATAACTATTCAAGAGCTTTACAGGCAAAACAAGACAATAGAATAATTGTATTAACAAATAATTGAATTATACAAGACATAAGAACCTCCTCTCCCAAGATTATGGCAGAAGTTTGACTTAATTTTATTGTAGAAATACCTAGCTTAATTACTTTGTATCTTAACAACAAATCTTCCGGCCATAAGCTATACAAACAGAAAGAGAGTATTCTCCCTTTTTGACGTAGGGCAGAAAAGTAGTTAAGTAACTGGTAAGAATTTCCTGAAGAAAGCTCTCTCATTCGTGTGTTTAGAAAACAAAAATGCTGACCCTTTGATAACCCCAACAGTATAATTTTATGTGTGACTGAACGTACTTAATATGCAATTTTCTAATTTTCTGAAGTAATTTTTTATGGATTCACAGTCTCATAGAAGAGCAGTAACAACTCAAAAATAGCTTGGGTTTTTTGATCTCTGTATGCATTAGTGCCTCAAAACAGAGCTAAAGTAAATCTTGTTTGCAAATTAAATTTCAGTAAATGACATGAACATCCACACAAATAAGCTTTCAGAGGATAAAAATAGGGCTAAATTACTTTCCAAGTAGCGCTCAATTTCTCAACAGTAGGAGTTGAGCATCATTTGTTATAGTTCATATTATTAAAGTGCTTTTGTGAATGTAGGTATGCAGAAGAAAAATTCCATCTGTTTTCTTCTTAGCAAAGAACATCAGAAAAAAACCCCCAAACAACCAACTAGGAACACTATCTGTCTCATCTGGAATATGCTTTGTGACCACTATATGAGATGAGAACATCTTCATCCATCTCTTCCAGCTTTATCATGCATAATTTTGTCAAAAGAAAATCTGTTACGTGTCCATCACCTAACAGTATTACTGGCTCTAAGTCCTCAAGCAGTGAACCAAATAAAGCTAGAAGAGTTGTGAACAGACTATCATCTACACTGACAGAATTTACAGAAAGCCTCTGTGGGAGGCTCAGTGTGCAAGATAACAGCCCATTAAGACTGACAGAAGTTTTTCAGTTATAATTAAAAAGCACCATTTACTTAAAAACTCAAATCACTTAACTATATTTTATTTGAAATGTAGTTTTCAATCAGTACTTTAGCAACACCTGAGTTAAATATTCCCAGTCTGTACAGACTATTAACAAGAAATAAGGTCCAGTGCTAGAATAACAGAGTTTACCTGTGCAATAGGTATTTCCGATTTAGCCAAAAGCAATCTTGCACGTATGAAATAGCAGCAGCTTCTCAATCTGTCCTCTCACCTTTTCTACAGATTTCTTCCCAGCATAAACTGGGAAGTTTTAATACTGTGCTACAGATGTTACACAACATTCTGTATTCAATTTAAGAGATCCTTACCTGCTCAGAGAACAGGTAATTCTACTTAATACTTAAAGGAAAAGTCACTGCATATGTACAAATATTGTCTTTCCTTCTAATTTCATTGAACTACTAAGGTATCTTTCCTAATTAATGTTATAAAACCTCCTTTATCTTCAGGGATATTCCACATGTTAGAAGTCTGAATACTTTATCATCCATGTCGCACAGTCACACATCCATCTTCCTACTCTTAAGTCCTGAATGCAGCATTTTTTTCAATTCATTAGAAGATAAATCAAGGAACCCTTAAAACATAGCTTCTCCTAGCTTAGAAGAGAAAGAACAAAAATTTTATGCAGGTCTAGGATCTTTTAAAGAGTATTATTCTTTGTTAACTAACACTGAAGCATGAATACAGGTCTACCAACCTTTCATACTAAAACTGAGATGAAATACATTTTTCCTCTTAATTTATTATGATGGATTGGATAACAAGATTTACGAAGAACATCAAAAAATCCAAACTGGATAACTGTATTTTCAAAGAATCAGCATCTGTCTTTTGTACAGTTTATAGAAGCCAAGATTTTTTACATAGATTTATGTAGCAAAAACAGACTACAGTTTCATTATCGTTATAAGGTGAAAGAGAAATAATACTTCTTTTTCCAATACTAGAGTAGCCTCTTTTCATCTTACAGGTAAAATATCTGAATTGCACAAAGAATGGTTAAAAAAACCAAACCAAAACAACAAAAAAAACCCAACCCAAAACCACTTCACTCTTGCATTTTTACTTTCTAAGACTGTAAAGAGAACTCTTATTAAACACAAGTTTAATTGAGTATCCAGGGAAGGAAGAAAAATGAAAATATTGAGATTGATCACTTCAGAAGAAAGTTTTTAATAGCCCTGTCTAGATATTATCCCCAGCTGTATCCTTTACTGTAGTACTACAATTTAACCTCAGCATTCAAGAAAAATTATTGTCTATCTTAAAGATGCTAAGTATGGGGAAGGGAGCTGAATGTGGAAAGTGACTTGGCTTCCATTCACCTGAAATGTTAAGAGGGCAGATCAAGATCCGAATGGCGTAACAGCACATTTCATTGCTGTTTTTCCTGGTCAATAAATACTGGGTAAAGAACAAGAGTGAATGAAGGGTATGACTAAATGTCACCTTGCTTCATTCAGGAACCATCTGACCTTCTTGCACCAGTGCTCTCATTATCCCCCACTCTCAGAGCTCCACCGCCCAAATGTCTGCACTGCTTTATCTTCCTTCTGGGAGCTGGCCTCAGAAAGGGAGGATCACGTTGTTTGAAGGATCTTGTGACACTACACTACTTGATGATGTAATTAATGGCTTCTTTTCCATGACACATGCAGCTGTCAGCTCTGTAGTGCAGCTAAGAAACACACATACACAGACCTTACATAACCTTCAAAGGTGTAAGTGCTATGCATTACTACACACAGCTTCAAAAGAAAAAGTCTGCACTGAAATACAGTACTCGGATTCCAGGCACAGCAAAGCTGCTTTCTCCATTATTTCCTACCCTCTACCCATACGCTGCACGGGGCTGGTGGGGCAAAATACACATTAGCAGCAAATGAACTATCACGCACTGGAGGACTTGTTCAAGATCCTAGACTGGTTTCAGCCTGTTTGTCCAGCCTTGAGAAAGACAGTATCATATTCCTTTAAACATGCAAACTCCTCTATAAAGCATATTTTACCACATTTCAAAAACTTACAACATTCAATGAAATATCATAGTGATGGTGAGCTGGAACATTCTCCTCTTCTCACGTACGCACAGTGTAAGGTAATAAAGAGAAATAAGCTGATGGACTTCAAGTCACCAGCTCATCATTTGCTCTGCTCCATCACAACATTGTCCTATAGGTACTCAATTAATTTTAGATTTCTAGAAGTGTGAACAACTGCTACAGATAAGACAACATTTAAATGGCTTTCTGTTTAAAATTAAACTTTTTTTAATAAAAAAGAACAACGCCTGCTAACACATCCAGCCCCTGATCGAAAACAAAGAACTACTTCTTCCAATCATAGAAAATAAGCAGGACTATAAAATGTATTTTAAAGAAGCACAGTATATTAAAAATCCCACTAGGTTAGACATGTAAGTCTACTTGAAAGCATAGCTTCAAATACTAATATTAATACGGATAATCTTTAAAAGGTCCAGTGCATGACAGCAAAGTATTACTAACGATTAAAAACTGAGCTAACTTGGTTGCAACTCAACGCCAGGATACATATATAATTTCATTAACTCTTCTGATCTAAAAAAAGATTTGTGCAACCCATAAAAAACCAGCTCTATGAAGAAATACAGAAACAGCTGTCAGCAAAAGAAGACAAATACAAAAGCCCGATTATGCCTATAGTTTCTTACTTCACTGTATCCCTTCTACCTCCACAAATAAAGCTGAAATGCCAGAACTAGTAGCCTACAGCATTCAAGGTGTTCAATAGCTTTCTGAATTCATAATATAATGTTCCACATAAAGCCATTTTTATTCCACAATCCATTATCCCCCAAAGGGATTTATCCTGGCAGAACTACAGTACTCTCAGCATTTCTTTGCAGCAATTCTGATCCAACTTTGTAAAACCTGACAAATTCAGTACTTGAATAAAAAGAATCTTTGCCAGAAGACCACCTTCACCTGCCTTCCTGCTGGTGCTGAAGCTGGGGCTAGTGAACAGTGGAGCTAGCTGACACTCAGGGCTTACCCACACTGGGCTCTTCTTGTAGAAGAGATGAAAGTTGTATCAAAGCTCTTTATGTTAGAGACAACTTCCTTATGAAAAAGGCATGTCTTGAAATTCTTATTAGGTAGTCTGAAATTACTTGTTCTTGCTTTAAGGTGCAGATCACAGAATCACAGAATGGTTGAGGTTGGAAGGGACCTCTGAAGGTCATCCAGTCCAACCACCCTTCTCAAGTAGGGACTCCTTGAGCACATGAACCAGGATTTTGTCCAGACGGTTTTTTAATATCTCCAGGGAGGGAGATTCCACAACCTCTCTGGGCAACCTGTTCCAGTGCTCAGTCACCCTCACAGTAAAGTTCTTCCTTACGGTCAGGTGGAACTTCCTATGCTTCAGTTTATGCCCGTTGCCTCTCGTCCTATTGTGGGGTGTCAATGAGAAAAGTCTGGCCCCATTCTCTGGACACTCTCCCTTTATATATTTATAAACATTAATCAGATCCCCTCTGAGTCGTCTCTTCTCCAGGCTGAACAAGCCCAGCTCCCTCAGCCCCTCCTCATACAAAAGATGCTCCAGTCCTTTAATCATCTTAGTTGCCCTTCACTGGACATGCTCCGGGAGTTCCATGTCCTTCCTGTGCTGGGGAGCCTGGAACTGGACACAATACTCCAGATGGGGCCCCACCAGGGCTGAGTAGTGGGGGAGGTCAGCCCCCAACCTGTACTGGTGCCTGAGGTTATTCCTTCCCATATGCAGGATCCTGCACTTTCCCTTGTTGAACCTCATGAGGTTCCTCTCTACCCATCTCTCCAGCCTGTTGAGGTCCCTCAGAATGGCAGCACGGCCATCTGGTGTATCTGACACTCCTCCCAGTTC